TTAGAATTTAACATGATAGTGTGAGACTTACAACTTCATTGTCCTTTGAAAATAGAGGTTCAGTTTCAATCTTTTATTAGAGATAGTTTCAGCTTAACTTACTGAATTCCACATTATCTGATTATTGGCTGTTCCGAACCATTTTTGAAATATTAACATTATGTCAAGTACTAAGTAGATGACAGGTAATTGCTCTGTTGAAAATACGTTGATATTTTTGGAGAAATCTTTTCGATTGAACGTTAATTTGTTTTATCTGGTCTTCGCTGATTTTTATGTCAGAATCGCTTATCACTCATACTTATAAAGTGAGGAACCACTGCGATTCCTACGACGCGAAAGTAAGAACACAAAGACTGGTACAAATGAAGATTTATTAACTCCGAAACATGACGACGACTATTCTAGCCGAAAATACACTCATTTATACATTGATTCGTACACCCATTTTGATTATTGATTAGGATGAAATCAAATATATGACAAATCACATGCTACATGTCACGCTGAGCCTAGTTCATGTTAATTTAATACAAAAATATTGTATGCTATACAGAATAAAATACCATACAGGAAAACAAAACAAATACTACACTAAGTATCACATTGAATTGAAACGTAAATAATGTTGAACAAAATTCATGATGAGTATGTAGTGTGGCGTCGAGTGGCGGTTGACTATGATCACCACTACAAGAAGGTTGCGCACCAGATATCGGAAGGCGATTGGAAGTTGTAGCGATATATATTTATTGACGATCCCGTGATATCGAAAGAATACCGAGAACGTGCCAAAGGAGTACAAGCGGAGTCACTGGGCAAACGTAAGTTCGTGCAAGGTCACAATCAACGGAAGCAAGAATGGAAGAATAATGGATGTCTTTAATACAGTTAAACAAACAAGTACAGTAAGACAATCACTGGTACAATTGGTTATAATAATAATTGTTTTCATTAAACCAATCGTGTTCTCTTGATAAAAGTAGGCAACTACAAGTAAATCAACCTAATTTTGATTTTTCATCGTCATATCATTTTTGACTTTAGTTGTTGTGGATTGTGCTCTCAGATGCGAACAAGAACCTCTTTTCTTGTTTTTCTGATGTAAATGCTTTGTCACTAACATGTAAACTGGCAAATACAACTGGAGGCAATATAAAGTGGAAGTTTATCTACTTTAGTTTGTTTCAATCATAAATTTCGCAGTTCAATACGTCATTTTCAAAGGAGCACTTAGTCTAGGATTAGTCTTATTAGCTATTTCGTCCCCTTCAAAACTAAGTCGTAAAAATAATGGTTTTGATATATTTTCTAATAAATTTAAGCATTTACAATGTGTTGGTATAGCGAGCGAGTTATGGAGATTATAGAGTTTTTAAAGTTTAAATTCCGAACTAATTTTAACTAGATTACCATCGAAAACCAGGAATCACTGGACATCTGTCCTGTTATGAAATGGGACTCTTCAGAAGTGTACGTTCAAGACCCCATTACAAGGGATCAATCGCAATCCAAACTATGAACATCAGTTAATTTTTATTTCAGAATAGTCGAGGATAATAAAGGAAGTTGTCGTATCCTGGTTAGATTCATCGCTGTTATCGAAAACAGCAATATTATGATCATTTTTCAGCAAACTTTAATATTCTTCAAATGGAAGGGATCATTGCATTTTATCGAGTCACGGGATTACCTGTGTTGAGAAACATTAAGGAAAGAGAAATGTAGAACATTGGTCCCGAATGTTTACCGAGTTGATTTGAACATTATTCGGGAGTATATATGAGCAAATCACTCCGTAGTATTTATACATAGTTAGACATATGGGAGTTGCTGGCATTGGCTTTTGGGTTTAAGTATCGTACCAGTTAATACTCGTTAGCAAGGTGTATCTGCAATTCTGAGGGAACTAGTGCACCCTACGGGATTCGGACTTGGGTCACCCGTATGTATAGTACGACCCGTTATCAATAAGCTATTGTGACTGCGACTAACCCTTTTATCTGATCTCAATTACAAGCTATTATGTAACCTGTTAATCACCGTTATTTACACTATCGATATAAGGTAAAATTCAATTAACCATGTGTCATTCAACTCTGTAGTAAAAATAACTTAGTTGTAGATACTTATAGAGATTTATAAGTTAGAGTATATTATAGTTTAGTATCATGCATGTATAAACTCATGAATTATGAATTAGAGGGATAGAAAGTTGTATTGACGGCTTTTATCAGACCTTCTAGTGTTCTTGTTAGAGGTTTAAGGAAGTGCGAATTTGTGTGGTCAGTCGATCATGTACAAAATATACAGTAGAGAAGTTGGAAAGGTTTATTACTAATGATATAGAAGATATGTAACAATCTACACTGAAAATAAACTCTACCAGTAATGAAAAAATATATAAACTAAGGTTAGTACATAATAGGCCAATAAAATTAAAGATCGATATTTGTAATAAATGGATATTACTTTAGAGTGGATTTCTAATCCTAATGACTAATTTCAAAATGGACTTTCCAAAGTTCAAAGTTATGGTCTGAGACCAATCAACATAGCAACTTACTGATGGTAGTAGGATGAAGATTGCAAACTGGCTGAAACTGCAAGATTTGAATCATTGAATTATGACTTAACAGCTCAATGGTCTCATGCCTGTTGTACAACTAAATGATTCTCGGTTGGTACAACGGAAAAACAATGGTAAAATTGAATCCTGGCTTTCAATGGTTATCCAGTTAACGTTGGTTAGTGATGAGACTTACCTTCGAAATTTTAACGATTATTAGTAGATAGATTAGTTAAGTTAGTCTATTCTTATAGAGGATAGGTCACAAACTAAACAGTTTAGTCAAAATGCATTATATACCAAGATTCTGGGTTGCTAGTTTATGAGATAGGGGTTTGCCTACTACGTATTTCAACCTATACTGTAATGTAATTAGAATAGTTAGATTGAACGGTTTATTTTACTGCTGGAAATATCAGCAAAAACCATTCAATCACTTACTATGGTATTTCCGGGTTGTATAAAAATGTCTGTAGTTGTACTTTTGGCAAACAATAAACGTCTATGGTCACAGACCAAGTGTTGTCCTTTGACATCCCCATATCTCAGTAAGACAACGTACTGAGTGTAACAATTGAACCTCTTATCGATTCATATGTTGTCAGTACAGTAGTATGATGCCCCTGTAGTTCCCAGACTTGCACAAACCTCCTTTCTTTGATATTTTGATGAGGTTTCCTTCCTTCTAGTATGTCAGCACTTGTTCTTCCTTCCAAACCTTCTTGAATAGAACGTGAAGCATGTTTGCAGTTACTTCTAAGTCTGACTTCAACTGGAATATTTTCAGGTACTGTTGCTTTCCCCCTCTTCACTGTCCTGATGGCCGTAATGTCTGTAGGTGCTGCTTTGATGTCCGGTGGATTTAGTGGAGATGGCCTATTCAAGAGTTCCTCAAACTGCTCCACTGTTCTTTAATCTTAGTAGTGGTCCTGCCAATTTTGTACTTGACTGGTCGTACTGGTTTACTATATTTCCCCGCTAGTTTCTTCGTTGTCATATAGCTGTTTCATATTTCCTTCTCTTGCAGCTTTCGACACTGTTGTTGCTAACTCTTCCGAGAATTTCCGCCTGTCAGCTACAGTGCTCTTCTTCACCCGCTCGTTTACTTCTGTGTATCCGAACTGCGCCTTGACTTGCTCTGTTCTGGTTCGGCTGTTGTTAATCGCTGTCTTCTTGTTCTTTCCATCTTGAATCTTATCCAGGGTTTCCGTAGAGATCCATTACTTATGATGATGCTTCTTGTGACAAGCACCTCCTAACACGTTGAATCCAGCGCTTCTTTAATCCCTCTCCAGTTGTTCTCGACACTAGTTCTCTCAGCAGATCTTGTAAGGCTTGCAAACTGTTGTTGAGAGCTGTCTTGAATTGGTTGAGTTTGTCAGTATCTCGAAGGCTGAAATGCTATTCCAACAATGTCCAACGCTTCTCTAGCTTCAGTTTCATCTTGGCAACCAACAGGTTGTGATCTGGAGCTATGTCAACTCCGCCCCTAGTTCTCACGTCTTCCATCGACCAGCTGAATTTTTAATGATACAGATATGGTCGATCAGGTTCTCAATGGTGTGACCCTGTGAGACGCATGCAGCTTGTGTATGTGTTTATGGGGTAATACAGTGCCAACTATAACCATTTTGCTGAGGACAAGTAAATCTCTCGTCATTCTCAATTCTTACTCCCAGTCAGTGCATATCGTCCCATGATATCTTCATAACCGGTGTTGTCCATTCCGACTTTGGCGTCTAAATCTACCATCAGGATGATCAGATGTTTTTTTTCGGGGGAACTTCGCTATGATTGATTGCAGACTCACATAGAACTGATCTTTAATGTCATCGTGGCTATCATTGGTGAGTGCATAAAACTGGACAACATTAATCGTGATTCCCTTCTTTGCTTTGAAAGATGCTTTCACGATACTGAGTCCATGAGACTTCCATTCTTTAAGTGCATTTCGTGTTTCTTTGGTCAGCATCGGAGCAATACGCTGAGTATATGGAGCATTTTCTTCTTAGTGACCGGTATCTAGCCCTTACAGTCCAGCTTGGGTCCACTGTGTTTCACTTATTCCAAGCACCACCAAGTTGTATTTTCTCATTTCCGTTGCTACTTGACTAGCCCTTCCGGTCTTCTACATTGTTCGGACATTCTGTGTACCTATATTAATTGTTGCTCTGATTGTTAGAAAGAGGATCGGTCTCGTGACTTCCGAAGAATCTCAGCTTTCACCTGAATGAAGATCCTTCAACTCCCATGTCAGAGCTTAAATAGTTATTTATTCTGATTGGCTCTTTTAGCAAGATTTTTTCTACGGGATGGGGTTGCTGACCCCATGCCCAAACTTCCTACCTCACCCGACCTTGGGACCGATATTAAACCGAGAAGAGCTACATACAGAGTTACCCTACAACTAGCTTTACAACATACAGAAGTATAATGTGAATTGTGTTTGATTTATTATGATATACAGACGATGTATGTGATTGATTAGGGATTACAACAACAAAATTATCATCACATTTAACAAAATGAAGACATGGCAAAAAAGCGGGACAACGTTACCTGAATAGTGTATTTAGAAAGAATGATATGATAGAAAATGAAATTTTACCTAAGAAAATGTTCAGTTCAAAAACACTGGTGCCGTAACATAATTATCGACATAGTCATGAACAATTTATTAATGGAAGCAGTAATCTTATAGTAATGAAACAAACAAAATGCACTATTTCGTTTGTTAGCTTCGATTTAAATGGGAAAACATATGGATAGAAATAACAACTGATAAATGAGTGATTTACAAGTGGGTTTGTCTCATTATCATCACACAAAATAATGTAGTTGATCTAATTCTTGAAAGAACAGTACATGGAGACTTGTTGGAGAGCGCACTACATTTGAGACCCATCGGCAGCAGTAGCGATATTTTCTGGTCCAAGTAGAGAATTATTTCCGGACCATGGAGTTTCTTTCCATATGAACCATAAACCAGCTGCCCATAGAGCAACATTGGTAAACCCAAATATCTAATTTATATAAATTAACAAAAACATACTGAATTATTAAAGTTACAAAGTAGATCCTCATTGGTTGGTATAATTCAGATACAAAGATTAAAATTTGTGTAAAGCAGAGGCATTAGGCCTTATATAATGACTTATTTAGAAGTCCAAAAACCAAGATCCATAAATAACTCACCAATGAAAACGTAGTCCTAAAGATGAATCATCCCGTTCACCTAACATGAGTGTTAAGGATTAATCTATCATATATCACTTTGAAACAATTTTGGTTCCGGATTTGAAATCATTAAAATGGCCTCAAGTGATATTTTTGCATTTGAGTATTCCTTATTTCACATATGAAAACCATACTTATGCGGCATATTATGGGTACTACCATCTCAGTCAATTATACGCAGAGCATAACCTGGAACATTTGTGCGACGGTTCTAATTGTTGTACTCTATTAGCACAGAGAGATGAAATAGTCAAGGCAAATCGAAGAATAGTGAGAGTGATAATAGTTTAAAGAACTAAGAGATTCGAGGAGAAAGGAATGACTTTGCGGGCAACGTATGATAGTTTTAAAACATAAAATCTGAGGGAAGAGAAAGTGCATCTTTACTACTGTAAACAATTTTGAGCCACGTCACCTGTCTTCAACTACTGGTTATGATAATCGTACGGACCTCAACCAAGGAGTTCGCACTTATTTACATGGTCCAGTCCAATAGTCAGTGTCTTCATGGACTGTTGCCATATCTTGATTTGACCACTCATAGCTTTCTTCCAACCTACTTCCATATCAGCCATCATTGACTGTCGAGATAGTCAGCGGATGAACGCACGTAATATGCATATTGTTTATTCTTATCAATTGCGGATAGACTTCACTAGTAATTAATTGATATCAGTAAAGAGTTGTAGATATCGTTGATTTTTAATTGATGCCTACGTCACTTTCGGCATTCAAACAAATACTAACTACATCGCTCTCTTCCCTGGTCCATTGGCCACGACCTTTGACTGAAGAGTATAATAGTATTGTACAGCCCTTATGGACCACTTCACTAGATGGAACTGTTGGTCCGGATTACTTCCTGATCACGCTATTGGATTTATATTTCTCTTCACTCTGTCGGGACGAACTGTGTACAATGATATTCAATAATTGAGTGAACTCCATTTGTGAGTTACCCAAAAAGGAACTTTTAAGTAACATTCATTACATGATGGTTATTGTTTTTCATCCAATGCACAACATAACTTTTCTATTTTTACCGTCTTCTTATTTGTATATTATCATTACGCCTTTTTCGCATTGATATTTGTTTTGCACATTATTGAACTACTACAACTATCATCAAAACAGTAAAAGTATTTATAAACATCTCCAGGTTTCCAACGGTGGTCTAACATCAATTAATTCATGATCTCAACCAAAAACTTAACAATCTCCACAACCCCCATACTGATAATTAACATGTGCTCAGTAGTGACTAGCTTCGTGAGGGAATTCTCGGAGTTCTAGTGAGAAGTCGTGACCAGTGGAGCTATAATCCGTGTCGGGTAGAGACAGGTATCTACCCCAGTACAATGGAAGGTGGTCGCGCAATTTCGTGGATTGGTTGATGTTAGACACTAACACCATTGGATGCCGGCTCAGTGGTCTAATGTTTAAGTGCTCAGGCGCGAAGCCAGTAGGTCCTGGGTTCGAATCCCGCGGGGTGCGGGATCGTGGATGCGCACTGCTGAGGAATCCCATACTAGGACGAAACGGCCGTCCAGTGCTTCCAGGTTTCCAACGGTGGTTTAACATCGATTAATTCATGGTCTCAACCAGAAACTTAACAATCTCCACAACCCCCATACTGATATTTATAAACAGTTGTCTACACAAGATACCCAATGTCCAGCGAGTACAGGTAGACAGCTGTTTATCAGATACCTGTCTAGTTTAAGGGGCTAACGAAGAATACCGGTTTACTCAAATTTTATCAAAGGAAAAATTGGAGTATAGAAGGAACAGTACCTCACGACTTTGAAAGTAGCTTTTTAATGTTGTTCTCCATAACCGGAAAATAGCCAATATCCAAAAAAGGCTTTTTTAATATTTTGTGTTACTCAGATGACAATTTCCAGACGTGAAAAACTAGTTTGGATGGATGAAACATGTATTACTCAATCCGAACAACTGCACACTTTGATATATATTTTGTTGAGTAACAACCGTCTGAACTACCAATTAACATTTTATGGTACAAGGGTTTGAATCATTTAGTTTAGTAGTAGGAAAAATTTATAATTCAGAACAATAACAACAAATGAGTAACGTTCTCTGGACCTTAAGATTTAGTCATCAAAATACTAATCTAGAGTTAAGTGTCTTCCCTAATCCTAAATTTTCAAAGAAAGTTTGTTACGACATTGAAAAGTGCTAAAGAGAATGATGGGATCAACCTATGCAACCATTAAAAAACTCACTTTCGGTAAACAGTTTGTTTTCACATGACTTTATGGAAGGTACTTTAAAGTTGAGCTAAATTACGAAGTCTAAGTGGAATAAATCAGTAAACCTTCAAGCATATACCCAGACAAGATCAAAACATCTTTCAAAATAGTTTTTAACGCTACATATAAAAAGTTACCGAAGAATCAGTTTGTTTCAGCATACAACTTGGCAATAAGAACTGTGATTAAAATGTTTTCCTGATCATATCTGAACAGACGATTCCTTACTCATCTTTTGCAGCGAATTCCACTAACTGCTCAACGGAATTTACATCCACAACAAAACAACTAGTAAGCAAAGAGAAATGACTAAACCGTGAGTACTAATATGAATACCAAACTGATAAACAAGAATATTTTTTCTTCACTGTTATATAAACAGTTAAATATATAACCAACAAAAAGTGAATAGTCATTACCAGAGAAACGTTAAGTCCCCCATAGGTAGCTTGTTCCTCGGCTTCACAATGCACATTAGGTCCCACTTCATTGCAGATCCGACTTGCTGACGTATACGTTTTAAACTGGTTTACATTATCGGCCCATGCACAAGAGGCGATAAACCATAACAGAACAATGACAGTCGAGAAGATGAATTCCTATTATATATGTAGAGTGGTGTATAGAACTTACGTATTTACTAAACCGTGAGTCAGTGAAATAGCGATCATGAAAATAGACATAATAGACGCCCATAGCAACGCAGAAAAGCATAGTTAGGACACCAACAAACACATAAAACTGTGCTGCTGAGGCGAAATTCCCATACATATGTTTACTCTCCATAGCAGTGCATCGAGGCAGCACGATGGAGTCAATACTAAAAAGAAGTGAAAAACCTGAGGGATTACTTGAAAGGGTATGTAAATTTGGCACTCCAATGCTCAAATGATCCGTTACCCCGACAGTCATACTTTAGCTTGACATTGGTTGAGAAGTCACACGTCGTTGCAAACGCAAAGATTGCTATAAGCTATTACGATATAATGAAAAATATGAATAACATACAACTTCAATGATTTTAATAAAACCCTTGGGCTCTTTAAAAACTTCCCATCCTGAAGACTAGTATCATGTAAGGAGTCGCTAAAATTGCGTGGATTTACCGATGGTTCTATCATCCCTCCAACCTTTGTTACTTCTCAAGATGAAAGAATGGGCAGAGGGTTACACTGAAGACTAAATCGTGCAACGCAGAAAAACTGGAAAGTGCGCTGCAATTCAATGCCCAATACCTGAGTAGTCCTAACTAATACAACAACAAAAAGTGTTTTGGTCTAGATTTACGTTTTTAGTAATTATTTTATGAATAACAGATTTCTTAAGATATCAGTTAACGATACAAGTATACCTAGAGACATCAAATCGTTGGTTTGTCATCAAAAAGTATTCTCAATTAACTTGAATCATGGCCCTTCCGGCCAAGCGAAGTTGGTGAAGCCGGTAGGCCCTTCTGGAAAAGAGGCATACGTAGAAGCACGGTACAGCTACCGGGGTCCAATAATTGCTTTTGCGTTTTCGATTCTTCTCAATGTTAGTGTTTCTTGAGTTTGTATCTTTCGGTTTCGCCGCTACATGTGAAGATGCCACAAGAATTTAGATTTTGACAACATTTTAAACAATCACACCTACAATTGAATCGTGCTCACCCAGTGAAATAAAAAGCTAGGAGCGGAGAGGTTTGAAGATATATTTGATACGCTAACAATATATCGAGTAGTGACTGATCTAAGCTGCCTAGCGATTGAGGGAGAAGTTGATCTCGTTCGGATGCGTGAACGAGCGCCTTCGGGTAGGGGGTTCCATAAAAACTAAAGTGGCCAGCATCAAATTTCAAAGACCTACGGAGCGATTGATTTCGGAGGTCACCACCATGATGAGGTAGTGATGATCCCTTGGCGTGGCCAGCCAGAAGTTTAAACACAATGAGCTTGTCGTTGATAAACACTCTTCTGATCGCTTGCTATGTTCAGCAGCATCTGGTCGTCTCTCCTTATTATAAAAGGCCATGTGGTACAATATATTAATGAAAAACAGGTACAATGAAAATTTCGATTCATTGTAAACTTTCTCTATTCTCATCTTTTCCAACCGTACTGAAAAATAAAAAGGATAAATAATTGCATGTCGAATTAAACTCGCATCTGTGTAGAGAGACAGAAAAAGGCGAAAAAGGGAAATAAACTCATATACACGCGTTTTGTAAACATACAAGAGCGTAAAAACGATTTTCGAGAAATTATTTTTTGAAAAATAAGAAATATACACTTATAAGCAAGCATATAAGCGAAAACGATTTTGGAATATATATATGAACATATTAAAAATAGTTTGCTTTTTACAAAAGACAAGGAAAAATGGAGGTGAAACAAAGTGTTATGTAGTGTCTTACCTGCAGTAATCGTCTAGATGTTCTGGAAACCTTACTCTTCTTCCACAACGCGTTGCTTTGAGTCTGTTGTCGGATACTATAAGAGTATCATTGTGAGTGTTGGTTATCTGGTGATTTATAGTAATTGTGTGACTCGCATCCCTCTACTGTACCTAAAGGAAATCGACATAGCCAGAGTTTCCTTCCAAATACGCGGCTTTGATGCGATCGATGCTGATGCTATCGTTAGTTTCGTTCTTATTGATTCTATATTACATGAGTTTACGCAGAAGAACTTTGGAGGGTTCTTCGTATGTTGTTCCGAGAGGTCGTCGATATAGATCGCGACGTACAAAAACGCGTGTACTACATCGTAGAGCAAAGTGGACAAAAACATCAGTTGACTGAGATTGACTGGGAACTGATTTAACCGAACGCATTGTGTTTGTAAGCCTGCTCGTGCATGGGTTTAGATCCATATTCGTTGAAGAAGATGAAAATCCGTTAATTCTCCTGGAAGTCGAGGTGTCGCTCAATAAACTAGTTGAGCTGCAGTCTAACCAATATCAGCTTTTACTGCATCTCAAATACCACGTTAGATGAATGAAAGAGCGTCAATCCACTACGAAACGTTTGTAGCTGATAGGGAAGCTTTTAGCTGTCGGTGAAAGCGTCCTACCAACCTGCTACTTGTGGGTGGTAGGTGGTCGTTCTTAGTCGCGTGCTTCTCAGTAGTGTAGCCAGACGTCGGAAAAGTGCCTATTCCAACCGGCGTCCACGGTCTGTAGTCTTAGTTGAAAGGCAGCCGAAGTTTGCCACCCATCGTTCAACGAAGGCGTGGGCTGCCGTTTCGGCAGTAATGTCCTTGATAGGTACTGCTTCTGGCCATCGAGTGAAACGATCTACGCAAGTTACGAGGTAGGAACAATCATTTGAATCTAGTAAATGTCCTACCAACTCTAGATGAACGTGTTCAAAATGAACATCGGGAGTTTTGAATGAGCCTAAGAGACAGCTGTTGTGTCTAATCACCTTAGATTTCTGGCAGCTTACACAGGAGCGAGCCCACTCCCTCAAGTCTTCATTCATACCAGGCCAGCAAGATCGTTCTGCTATGAGCTTGATAGCTGCACAAACACCTGGGTAAGAAAGTTTATGTAATGTATTGTAGACCTTGTGCCGATATGTTTTGGTACGATTGGACTACCCTTACAGGTAGATGTGTCACACGCTGAAGTCTTTTTACCTATTCCCATCTGTTTGACAAACAGTTTCAGGGTTGTAGAAGACAACGCATACTGAATATTAATATCTTTACTTTGAAGCCAGGCGAGTTTAAAAGAGTCGATTTCTTGTAAACTGTTCAAGAAAGTTATACGAGACAAGGCGTCTGCCTTGAACATCAATAACGTGTCCCAAAACCTTGGGAGTCAATTTTGATCTGACATTTCTGAATGTTTGCAGTAAGACCGAGCTTTCGTAGTCGTTCGAAGAGATGGTTCAGGTGCTGGAGATGGGATTCCCTATCCGGACTTGCAATAGAGCAGTCATCAACATATGTATGTACTAAATTGAGACCTTGAAGGACATCATCGATGAACCTTCGGAAATTTTGTGCTGCATTTCTTAGGCCGAAGGTCATGCGCAAAAACTCGTAAAGACCGAAAGGAGTAATGATAGCTGTTTTCGGAATGTCTTCAGCAGCCATGAGAATTTGGTTAAATTCTTTAACCAAGTCGATTTTCGAAAAAAACTGTTTTACCTTTCAAGGTTGTTGTCAGTTCGTGAATGTGGGACAACACGTAACCATCAGGAATGGTTTTCGCATTCCATCGCTGATAGTCACCATTTGTACGCCAGTCGCGATTCAGATAAACACTATCTCTGTCACCTATTCATCTGCTCTAGTGGCCACAGTCAGTGATTGAAGATTATAATGGTTGTAACAGAAAAAGTACACTGAAGATCTCTTCACAGAATCTTACCGCTCAGTATTGTCATTTATTTGTTTCTCGCCGGCTTGTATTTTTAACCTTCATCCAGGCCTCTTTTGACCGCATTTTATGTTTTTCAGTCTTCCTTGTCTAAGTTTTTAGTATGCGAGCTTGGTTAATGACTTACTACTTGTGACATTACCATTGCATGTCGCCGGACTGCTCACAATAAGGTTGTGTTTGACCCGACTCAAGGTCGCGGTGTGGTTCAATGTATGATGATAGACCTTTGACAGTCCGCGGTGAGGAAACCAAGAGCTGTGTTTGAAACAAGTGTACGAGTGTCGTGGGCATTAAGTAAGGTGAAAAATGCAAGAGGGAGAAATGGCAAGAAGAACGTAGTAGATATGCAGTGTGCAAGTACATGTTTAGATTTGATGTAGAACAAAAATTTGCACAACGGATAAATTTTAACCTGATGATTACATGTAAATATACTCCTTGGGTAATAAAACTATCTAGAACTGTCGAAGTTCAGTATCAGACGATCAAAATAAGTATTGTGGGTGGTAAATATATAAACAGAAGATCTGCATTAGTTAAAATTGAAGGTTACAGAGATACGCAGTTCTAAAGAGAACTGGTACTATATGGAAATTTGTGAAACGGTATTTTTAGGTAAACGTACTGACCGAAAACTATGATAGACTCACCGATTTGACCTGATAATTCTAGAAAGTGAGTTATAGCATCCAAATACAATTTAAAGGATAGTGTATAAAATTGTGTACAAAGTCTACAGCATGGTGCCTCAACATGTATGATTATGTTTTGAGTGTTAGAGTGAAGTCTGAATTAAACTAGTAAATCCAGGAATTATGTGGACCGTAACATCCGAACACTATATAAGGTTACTTACTTACTTACTTACTCCTGTTACTCCCAATGGAGCATAGGCCGCCGACCAGCACTCTCCAACTCAATCTGTCCTGGGCCTTCTTTTCTAGTTCCATCCAATTCTTGTTCATTTTTCTCATGTCTAACTCCATTTCTCGGCGTAATGTGTTCTTTGGTCTTCCTCTTTTCCCTTGACCTTCAGGATTCCATGTGAGGGCTTGTCTTGTGACGCAGTTGGGTGCTTTCCTCAATGTGTGTCCTATCCACTTCCAGTGCTTCTTCCTGATTTCTTCCTCCGCTGGGATCTGGTTTGTTCTCTCCGACAGTACGTTGTTGCTAATAGTGTCCGGACAACGGATCTGAAGTATTTTGCGTAAACAACTGTTAATAAACACCTGTATTTTCTGGATGATGGCTTTTGTAGTTCTCCAGGTTTCTGCCCCATACAGTAGAACTGTATTGACATTTGTATTGAAAATCCTGACCTTGGTGTTGGTTGACAGTTGTTTTGAGTTCCAGATATTTTTCAGTTGTGAATATGCTGCTCTTGCTTTACCGATCCGCACCTTCACATCTGCATCAGACCCATCATGTTCATCAATGATGCTGCCCAAATACGTAAAGGTTTTTACATCTTCCAAATCTTCTCCGTCAATTGTGATTGGATTGGTGCATGCTGTGTTGTATCGGAGAATCCTGCTTTCCCTTTGTGTATATTGAGATGTATTGCTGCTGAGGCTGCTGCCACACTGTTTGTCTTCTCCTGCATCTGTTGTTGCGTTTGGGATAGAAGGGCCAGATCGTCTGGGAAGTCTAGATCGTCCAACTACATCCTAGACGTCCACTGTATCTCGTGCTTCCCTTCAGACGTTGACGTCTTCATGATCCAGTCGATCACCAGGAGAAAGAGAAAGGGTGAGAGTAAGCAACCTTGCCTAACACCGGTCTTCACTTCGAACGACTTTGTCAACTGTCCTCCATACACGATTTTGCAGTTTAATCCATCATATGAGTTCTGTATGATATTGACTATCTTCTGAGGCACGCCGTAGTGTCGAAGAAGTTTCCATAGTGTTGTTCTGTCCACGCTATCAAATGCCTTTTCGTAGTCAATGAAGTTGATGTAGAGTGATGAATTCCATTCAATTGATTGTTCCACAATTATCCGTAGAGTTGCGATTTGGTCTGTAGACGACCGATCCTTACGGAATCCTGCCTGTTGGTCACGAAGTTGGGCGTCTACGCAGTCCTTCATCCTGTTTAACAATACCCTGTTGAAGACTTTTCCCTCTATTGAGAGAAGAGTGATGCCCCTGTAGTTATCACAGTTGCTGAGATAGCCTTTCTTCGGTATTTTGATCAGAAGTCCTTCTTTCCAGTC